AGGAGGGTTCTTTCTATGGGGTCGTCCCTAGTGCTAAGTGACGACAGGTTGAAAGTGCACCCTTTGAGACTAAGACGTTCCAGGTGAATGCCGTTAAACACCCATCAAAACTCCCAAGAACCTATTTTCCAGTCGTGGTAAAATCCGCAGTCGGGCGAGGATTCATTTCGGCGATTCACTTGCCCCCATAATGCACCTGCAGTGCGACGGAAGAAATACGCGCGTGGCTTTTCTCTCGCCGCTGTAAAAATAAAAACTCCTCGAAGAGGGCGGGAGACGCGTCGTTTCGGTCTGAATTACGCCGAGAATGTCCGCGCTCTCGGCCCGTAAAGCGCGGAGTGGCGGTGCAAAGACGAAGCGTCGTTTAAATTGGACATTTCGGGTGCGTGGCGCTCGCCCGGGCGATTCGGTCTCTTCATCGCTGACACGAAAGGGATTTAACGGTGATAGCCCCCAACGTGCGCCGACTAGCGGCGAAGTCTTTTTAAAAGATTCAACGACCGCTCTCCCGACCCGCCGGCTCCCCGAGGGGAGCTTGCCGATGGTGTGTAGAACGTCGGGATCACGTCGCTTTTCATTTCGCCGCTCCTAACACATTCCGCGATCGACGAAACGTTCACCGTCGTTCGCCGAGGCGAATCTGACCTGCAGCAAGGTTTTATCTGGCATACTGAGATGGAGGTTTTTGATATACACTAATTTCGTCCTTATGGGTGATGATATGATATTTAATGACCTTATTAATTGGATTAGTAAGTTGCACTTAAACTTATACATTTTATGACTGGAACGAATGTATTAAAAGTTTAATCAACATTGAACTTGAAGTGTCTCAGATTAAGTCATAAAAACTCTACCAGATAATAATATACAAGGTTTTATGCATCCTAAGTTAGAAGAAATTCTCATTTCCTGAGGGTATACGAAGCTTTAGGTCAAAATATACGATCACTGACAGTCTACTAAGCGATTTTTTGAGAATAGAAGTTTCAATATTTAACTATCACTCGACATATCTGCCAACTGATCAGGGAGAAACTTTGGCAGTGTGTAGCCAGGCTCACGTCTTTTTTTATTTGTCAACAACTAACATATTCCCCGATCGGTGAAACATTGGCGGCAGTCCTAAACGGTCTTTTACAGGATGACGCGAAATCAAAACGTTACTGACATTTCTGCCTTGATTGGAGGATGATTTATGATATTTCGCTAATACATAATATTTTAAAGTGAATTATTTTAGGGCAAGTTCGATTGAACATTAACCAGATTTTAATTTTAATTTTGTATCAGACGTACGTCATAAAATGATCCCGATAAGCAAGTCATTCTTTTACTTCTGCATCCTTAGTTAAGAATAAATATGATAAATTTTCAACATTTTTGAAGAGTTATTCCTATCAGAAAAAAACACTCACAATATTTTTAATTATTTTTTTCACCACACGCACAAAGATTAACAGAATATTTTACTTTCCAAATGATGACATGTAAATTTTTGTTATTTGTAAGTAGCCAGATGTCAGAGTGAATTTATCTTCCAGTGCCTGGAGAATGACTTAGAATACGCTGCGAAATCAATAGCAGACTAAGTTCTTGCAGCTTTAGCAGTGCAGAGAATTACAAATTTTTTGAACGATCTAAGAAAAATAAATATCATAATTTTACTGCCATTAAACTTATTAAACTGCGGTTCTTCGGCAAAAAGGATCACTAGCGTTTGGCGTCACGAACCGCAAAAGGCACGGTGGGCTTACCCTCTCTTTTTTCTCCACGTGAAAAGGGTGACAGTTAATGGAGAAAAAGTAGACGTTCTCTTAAATGAAACATGTTGAGACGAAAATGTGAACAGTAACATAAATATTTTGCAATCCCAAAGAATGTATGAAAATTTGTCTTTTGAGTACTAATGTTGTAAAGAACTCCTGTGAATTTCAGAGGAAGTTGAGAATGTAGTAGTAATTTTATGGCTCCAAGATAGTAAAATATCTGTTCCGTGAAGAAAAGGAAACAAAAGGCGTCGACAGTTTTATGAGCGACTGCGAGAATTCAGTTGCTACAGGACTTCTTTGAATGAACAACACCCTCAGTAAAATGAGAATTCAATGCAGTACTTTTTTGTTTCTTGATTCAACGGAAGTTTAACTGTCAGATTTAAGATTACTAGTATGTGATTCACTATTATATAACTTTTTGTGTACAAGTAATTGCAACCTTGCAGTGTGGGAAACATTCAGTAGTTAATCTACAGCTAGTGTTCTCAAGTATGATTTTAAATGTCTCTAATTACTGGGATATTGCCCAGTAATTTCAAAAAGCTGAATATTGATATATAAACTATGGGACATGATCTAACTCATCTAAATACTAATCATTAATTAATCTGGATTTTAATTAAGAATGCTCATATCACTATTGTTCTTACGCGAAGATTAAAAAAATAAATAAAATAAGAGTGTTTATTTTACATTATAAAACATTTCGAATTTGTACCTTTCAATACATCGTCAGGTAAACTGTAATACATGGTACATATTAAATTATTACACACACAGTTACAATACATATAATAGACCAACAAGCTTATAGCAACATATATTTAGCAGAGAGAGGCCTTTATTTCGAGAGCTCGCAAAAACTACTTTTGGTAGGGACGGCAAATTGGATGCAGCTCTCTTTGACAGCGCAACATAAATAGCAATATTAGCTATTCAATCGTTATTGAAAAAATAGACGACGAAAGGGATGCAAGATCTTCTAAGCGTATTTTTAGTTACGTTTTGCAAGTATAACTAACTGTAAAGAATCGTGTCGCATTATCGCAAACTTCGAATCGCCGTTTCTCAACCTTTTTTCTGGAACGACTCGACAAGAGAAAGGAATGTCCCAAAAGATCTGCCTAAACACCGAATCCCATACTCCTAAACAGTTTGATGGGCAAAGGCATTAAGCAAAAAATTTTTAAAATATATTTTTCAAATAAAGAATATGTGTATGATTTTAAAATGACTGATTAATGTAATCTGTTTTCCAGGATTGCCCAAAACTTTCCTCCTCCCAGAGAAACGGTGATTCGAAGGGCTCCTATTAGCACCGCCGGTTGCCACCGTCTCTACGAGTCGAGGGGGTGACGTCATAATTAAGCTTTGTCTCATAACAGCTTAAAGTTTGTTTTGTAAGCGGCGGAGCTGCAAAGCCCTTTGTGAAATCCACTTAAGAGTGGTTAGTAAGACGTTGAGAGTGTCCGGATATACAACTCCTCCCACGGACCAACTCTGAGCGGCGTGATTTGTCGTAGACATTACGCTTCGTAATACAGTGGCCCGCGTTGTTTAAAGTCATTATCAAAGAGGGTAGGTCAAATGTGATTCTGGAACCCACTAACGCAAAATAAACAAGATTATTGCACTGCATTGTTTCAAGTGGAAGAAATTTCTAATTGCTTTAACCAAAAAAGAAATAAACATTTTTCGAACCTTTGACTGAAAATTTTTCTATCCTCATACATTTAAAATTTCGAATAGTTACATTTTCGAAACTCACTGGTGTATTAGTGCCAAGTAGGAGTTTAAAGAAAAGTGGGACTACAAGAAAGCGAGTATATTAGCTTATGCTATTTCATATTAAACGATGTTCTCATTCTGCAAAAGGAACATGCTTATTCAGGAGAGATCGAAAGAGAGAGAGAGAGAAAGAGAGAGAGAGAAAGAGAGAGAGAAAGAGAGAGAGAAAGAGAGAGAGAAAGAGAGAGAGAGAGAAAGAGAGAGAGAGAGAAAGAGAGAGAGAAAGAGAGAGAAAGACAGACAGACAGACGGAGAGAGAGAGAAAGAAAGAGAGATTACTAGCAAAATGTTTATCGGCCAGCTGCTCTGATCGGTAGTTTGCCTTGTTTTTTTCGATCAATACTAGGAAAATGCCGCAATACTACCCTAACTAACAGGCCACGCACCGCGCATGATCCTGACTTCTTCTTCCTCTTATTATCTTATCTTTCTTTACACACACTTATGTTTTACATATTGAGTTGAGTTATGAGTAAAGTAAATTAGAATATTATGACATTGAATCGAAAAAACACTTGGAAAGTCAATGCAGTAGAGGAAACAGCACAAGGTGTATCAGTTATAAATAATGATATTAGGCAAAATAATTCCGCATGCAATCATTATATCTGAAGGGGCGTATTCAGCCATTGTCAACTCAAATATCAAGAAAAGTGCCAGACTAACATGTACTTTGTCTGAGCACAAAAACTGTAACACGTCTTAAAGTCTGTTAATTTGTAGAAAAACGATTTTATCTTAAATAAACACGTAAATTTTTCAGACAATAATAATTTTACTTTATAAGTCGGCTGCTTTTTAAATTTTTACTCAAAGGAACATGGTACTATTTGTAAACCTATTTCTTCATTTAGTTTAGCATTTCGAGATTAGGTATTTTTCAAGAACACTGAAGACATCTGGTTCTATATTTACGCAACTGGGTAGTCGCAGATCCCACGTGAAGATTTCAGGGTTTAAGGTCCAACTGTAGCAGATTTTGAACACGCTCGATAGCTTAGTTGTTCTCAAGCACTTTCCGGACGAGAATTCTAGCGGCCTTGTGATTTCATCTGTGATTTCGTTGGTCTTTAGCTTCTCCGATGTATGCCGGAGAATAACCATTACAAACAGACCATAGACCGCGCCTGATCTTTCCTTCCTCAACCTTGTCCCCTCGTATTCCCTCGAACCCACACTTACAATTGCATATATTATATCCATGTACGGAAACCAGTCGGGAGCTTAGATCTTGCTTCGGCTGTAAGGGGTGTATCTCTCTAAGAGATGCCTGAAGGGGGAAATCCTTTAAGTTGACGTGCTGGTGGCCGCCGAATCCTATTTCCCAGTATATCACCCCTTCCGGGCCATAACAAGCACTGCGCTTTCGCAACTAACGACCAGTAGCTGACGCAGCCGAAATCAATACTTACTCGTTCGCGGGCACCCTGTACTCACCGCGCTGATGTAGTTGTAGAGCGAGAGCCCGTCGGCCCAGGGCAGCTCGCTCTCGCAGGAGAGGTTGGCCACGCGCAGGTCGTGGCCCGCGTCCAGCGCCGCCAGCCCCGCCGCGAACACGTGCACGGAGTCGTACATGAGCGCCGGCTCCGCCTGCGGACACGCCCACGCTCACGCCCCCTCTCGCACCGCCGCCCCCGCGGCGGACCTTCTGTACGGCTCGGCCGTCATTCAAGGTCACAGCAAATGCAAGCCAAACGCAGCTTCGGACATTAGAAAGCTGGTTCTCAGAATGGAAGATCAAAATCAATCCCACCAAATCAGCCGCGAAAATATTCACATTCAAACCTTTCTTCCCTCCCATACAATTAAAAATGAATAATAATATAATTCCATAGACTCCAAATAATAAGACAGTTAAATACTTAGGACTACATCTGGACACCACCCTCAACTGGAAAACTCACTTAGGCAACAAAGTTCAGGAAGCCAAAATTAAAATTCTTCAACTGAAAATGTAAGACGAGGAAAATCGAAGTTTATTTTGCGAAGAGAACAATAGCAGATTATGGCGTAAAAGAACACAGACGCACATGCCGACTGCAACACACGTTATATTGCAACACTGTCTACCATTGTGCATAGCTAAAAAGCCATATATTCTAAGCTGTAACACAAGGTTATCGTGACCCGATACGAGTTACTTTAATTATGCCGTACTCTACAAAACGAGGTCTTTTTTGACGGGCTATTACATTTTGGGGGGACCCCCTAGAGCACCGGTTGTCGGAAACGTTCGAAGTTGTGCTACGTTACGAAACTATTACGACTTTTAAAACAATGAATTACGAAGTTATGAAAACTCTCAGCGATTCAGCTACTCATTATTTTGCACGAAGAGAAACATATCATACACAAAAGTTGATTCGGTTATTTCTAATAGGACACATTTTGTAAACGGACATTGTGCATCTTCGAAGAAAAAGTGTTGTAAAGAGAGATATTTGCTTAGATTGTAATTATCGAACAGCGGATATGTGTCATTTTAACATGTAACAAAATTCGTAAAGACTAAAAAAATTAAGAAAAATAATATTACAAGCATGTTAAAATGATACATTTACAAAAAAATTAAACTGTGTTCACGGTGAAATATGGAACTATTAGTAATGTGAAATAAATCAGAAAGACATTACAACATATTGATATACCTAAACCGTATTTACAATGAAATAAAATTTGTAAGAGTAATTTTTAATTTCAAGTTCCATAAACTTCGCTCGTTTTTAATCTACCCTTGGCAAAGGCGTACAAAAGAGGCCACTCGCACGCACTTAGTTAATCTCAGGATGTGTGGGAGCTTAGGTACATGCATGAAAAAATGAGAGAAACATGAGAAATACATGTAAACAGATCTCTGCTTTTGCTTCCCGTCCTTGAGCCGACACAAATTCTAGATATTTGGGGAAATGTTTAACTTAAACGGGACAGGGCATCAAGAGATTTCAAAAGCAAAATGAGTCACCTGTCTCTGCGACTTATAGTCGTAGTATAAATGATAAAATACAATTTTGTAAGAAAGAACATACGTTGCATAGTTTTGTATCAAATTTTAGTTAAATAGCAATAGGGACTTATTTCACTGCAATTATATTTTACGACGATCGAATTGTGTTTTGCAATAGAGCCGAGAGTTTTCTTCCTGAAAAGGTTAGGCATTTATCGTTGTTAGAAACGCGCGAGACCCGACATGCCTCTTTGACATCCAAATTAACCGGTTTGTCAAGTACCTCAATTGATGCCCTAACCAGGGAATTTCCGACAATCACCCATCAATCACGAGAATTAATGGGAGTATTGTTTACTTTTAGTGGTCTGACGAGAACCGCGTCTCCTCATTGGTCGCACAATAGGTAAAGATGATGAATGAGGTTCTTGGGGAATTATGGAGGTCCCCGTGTCGCGGTGGAAATGCACCCGAGTATAATCTTATCACCGGCAGGCAGTGGTTTTTCTGCATTGGGTAGGAGCTCTCCCAACGAGACTGATCTATGACGTGATAACGTCGACGCTTGTTTTTCTGGTTCCTTGATTTACGAGTACTAGTAAGAATATTTCAAGAAAATGCTTATCATCCGTGTATACCGATGATTAGTAAACACTCTTTAAGGGAAAATACTACATTTCATGGTCTTTCAATGAATTTTTTAAGCGTAGATAAATTAAATTAGATGAATAAGTTATAACCTATTAATGAATTCGTATGTAAATAATTTACATGAGAAATCTTCGGTATTACGAGGGAAAGCACGAAAATACTGTGTGTTGCTAAAAAATACAAAGTAAGGAAAGTGCCGTGCAGCACAAAAATTCCTTCTTCATTCTCATTATAACTGTTTTCAGGATACATAACGATCTTTTTGTTAGTGCCTGCATGTGAAACGTAAGATAAGCCATTTTCATTTATTCGTCCTTTTTTTTAAATTCAGAGAGAGGCAACAAGATGATTATACAATGCACGTCCTAAATTATTCCTAAAGCACTAATCTACAAAGCAAAACCAAAAAAGAAATTTTAGTATGAACTACTTTTCTGATCATGAAAAAATTACTACAATTAGCAACAAGATGAAGAAACCAACTAATTGGTTTCTTCCAAGAATTAAAAAAATCTTTGGGCATTTGTCAAAAAAGTTTAAAACTTCAAAATCCACGTAATATATTTTTTTATATTCTAATTTTTACCATAAAAATTACGATAAACATAAACTATCATAGGAACAAAGATTATAAATTCCATCTCATGAGAATCTGAATTTCTTGAAAAACCAATGTGGAAATTATGAGAGGCGTACACGTTTGATATTCTATGTACAAATTATGGTACCTCGAGGAAAAACCTCTCTTAAACGAATTTCTTGTATTGAGGAATTAACATGATTATTTGGTGTCCAATTAATGCATCTCAATTGCCTGACGTTATTCTCATAACAATTCCCCCGCTGGATGGTGAAATCTGTCACCGACATACACATCTGCTCGGTGGGATTTCCCCTCCCAGGTGTGTCTGGTGGCTGCGCCCCGGCCAGGACAAAATGAGCTGTCGGCGCTATCAATTCATACCCACCGGTATCTTCCTTACAGTATAACGGACTTTTCGTCTGGTATTTGCATCGTGACCACGGCATTGTTGTTGAACATCTCTTTGGCTTTTGTTAAATCTGTCAAGTCCCCGGTAAATCTAGTTATTTTGTGTCTACGCATGTTCACGGCTATTATGTTCAGCAATTGTGAATAAAAAAACTGGTTTATGAAATTAACTTGTTTTGGTCATAACGCTTCCCTCGCCGGATGGTGAAATCTGTCACCGACCTATACGTCTGCTCGGTGGGATTTCCACTCCCAGGTATCTCTCTGTTGGCTGCGCCCCGGCCAGGACAAAATGAGCTGTCGACGCTTCCAATACATGCCCACCGGTGTCCTTTTTACAGATTTCTCGAGTTGGGTGTCGCGCTTTGACGCGTGCAACGCGGCGGGTGGAGGGGGGGGGGGCAGAAGGGCACTCGCCTGGATGACGCCGCTCCGGTGCAGGATAGCGCTGCCCACGGGCTGGAAGCGCTCCATCTGCCCCAGCACGTCCGTCACCCACGGCGCGTCCGCGTCCACCAGCCGGAACGCCGTCATGTTCACCGAGTTGTACTTGAAATCCTCCAGGTCGAACGTCTCGATGTCCTGCGCGCACACAAACCCGTACACACACACACGTACACACACACACACACACACACACATACACACACACACACACACAGGCGCTGCTGCGCTCCAGTGAAAGGTCGCTGCGACGGTTACAGTTGCCAAAATTTGTATGGGAACAATGTGTTGTCTACGAGCTAATTTATTTTAACTAGCATCAATTCAGAAGAGGGGCTAGAATAGTTATTTATGATACGAGTGGTAAAAGAGACACTTTTATTTTACGAGTGAGAAAGGTTGCGACATGAGGCCGACAGGCCGGCAAAATAAAATCACTTTTATCACCATTGCTAGTGCTAAAATTGAACATTTACTACGCTAAGACGAACCTGAAAGGATAGATATTAATAATGGATGTCTAAAAAGAAAATTTAAGGGAGACAAAGTTTACTAGAGGGGGGGTTGAAATAAGTAAAAGTATGTAGGTTATAACAGGCAAATTGTGACAATAGGAAAAATATAATGTATTCTTATGACGACGTTCAATATTTTAAAAAATAATTGTAGTTCATAACTTAACTATTTTAGTTTGATTTTGTACGAACGTTACTATTTTTAATTTGTAGTAACTCTCAGAAGAGATCAGGGAAACTATTTATTACAAAGCAGTTTTCATAAATCACAAAGGTAATTAAACTCTTAACAAAAATGTACATTTCATACTAACATTGGTTTAAAATGTACTTCAGGTACGACTGAATCACTTGCCTCTCCCAACATTATATGCCTGATTCAGAAAATATATTTCATGTATAAAGTAATTGCAGTGTAAAACGAAATTTAAAAACGTAAAACCGACATTATTATAACTAAATAACCATTACGCAAAAAGCTGTAGTTTTAATATAAGACTTAATGTATAATGGGATTTTATATTATTTTATAAATATTATCAAGCGTTCTAACACACTATAATTAAGTAAAATTGATTGCCATTAATTATTTTATGCATAACTAACCCACTTTTCATTTATTTCTGAACTGTTATCTTTAATCATCAAACTGCTTTAAAAGTTGTAAAGATCCTTATATAATTCTCTAAACCATATTGAAATCATTCATTTACTTTCTTTCCGCCGTTTTTTATAATTTACTTGTATACTGTCTACTATACTATAACTAAAAGTGTCACTGTACTGCTGCTCTATGTTTTTAATGCCAAACAGTGTGTAAATATTAAATTATTATGCAAACAAAATAAACACATAAAATAATTTTAACTGAAACTATATTATCAAATCGTTCATAAAATCTGAAGCACGTATTTCAGAGAATGTTAAAAAACAACTTTTCCCCTTGCAAATGTCAAACACTGAAACCATATAGATAACTCAAATTCGCTTTCCCATATAAATTCCCCCTCCAACATATTTGAGTGCACTCGATACGAGAGGGATCGTAAAGGGCGGAAGTGGACATATTCATAATATTAGCCTCTCGGTCAATTCATTATATCATCGGAGAGCGACAAAACAAGTTTGCATTGTGCATAAAAGTGAATACGAATCTATCCCAATGGGAAAATTATCAAAAACGAAAAAAAACGGTGTAACGTCG